CAATGACCTTTATTTTTGCAGTCCTAAGTATACATTCCACCACTTCTTAGAGCTTCTGAAATAGATGATGTGCCAGTTCATGTAAACATAACCTAGACAGTACAGGGATTTTTATCAAGGAGCTTGCTCTCATATTTAAAAGAGCTTAGTTGAGTCCTAAAGGACTGAGGTCTTCTCTTTAGCTCTGTTCCAATAGGATCTGAACCCACACCATTTCTGTGTGGTACTTCTGATCCCCAACTTTGATGACCTGTGTTGAGTTGCTGAAATAATCCTGTAATCTTCAGTTAGCTGATGTCAAATGAAAATAAATAGACCATAAAAGAAAGATGACAGGAAAAAGACAAGAAGTCTTTACAATAAGATGCCACTGTGCTCCTCAGCTTTCCCTGCCAAGGAGTAATAACCTAAGGAATTAATTTTATCAGTATTGTTGAGTTTACTCAGCTCAGATCTGGCTGCTTCTTGTCTTTGTCTCCTTCTCTAATTCTTTGGAATGCTTTTAAGTTTTGCCACAAAATCATGAAATCTTCCTATGAAATGATGCCATTGCTTAAGGTTTGGTTTTACAATATAAAGCAATAAAAATAAATGAGATCTAGCTGAAACATTTGATTTCCAAATTTTTTTTAGTTTTACATTTGCATTGTGATGTTGAATTAAGCACATGCCAACATTGTTATACAGTTTATTGTATAAAGGCCAAGCACTAGCTATGAATCATATCTGTTACCTGCTAATGAAAAAGATTTATGTATACTTTGCTAAATTGTTTTGATTTCATTTAGTTGTATTTGTGTTGCAATTTACATATGTGTATAAATAGTTTTTCTGTTGCCATCGTCGACATACTTGGAACTGGATTCTGAACTGAGCTCCACAGCAATATTTTCTTGCTTGTTCTGTCAGCTACAATGCCCATTAGCAAACTGCTTTAGCAAGGCACATGGTGACGTAGCACATTTGATATCAAAACCAAGACATTCTGTCTAGAATACATGAGAAGCCAGCACCCATCCCCAATTACTAAGAGGAACACTGCCCTCATATTAAATTCTTTTGGTTGCTTTTGATCACAACCATTAATGTGTTGTGTGGTTTTAGATATTTGGAGCTAGAAGTACAAATGCATTGATTATTGTGAAACAGTAACGTGTAACAACAATAACTTCATCTGTAATAAGGCATGCAACGCAGTAATTATGGTGGGGTGGCTAAGAAAGCAATCTGGAATGAAGAGGTGGGGAAAAACCCTGGGAACCTGCTTGAACAAGAAGTGCTTTGCAATTCTCTTCTTCTTTTGCATATTCCTTTGTCAGTTGGACTCTTTAAGGGAAAACAGTTTGCAGCAATATTTTTTACAGGCATATTTTCCTTCTCTTCTAATTTTAATCAGATAGAAGCAAATCCTGGCTTTTCTCCACAGGTATCTTTTTAGGTAGAAGAACTGATAAGCAGCTGAGCTGCATGAATGAGGAGTCAAGAGCTCAGGCTTCTGAGGATAAAGGGATCTACTTAAATAGATGCTTAAGTTGTACTAAAGTCCATAAGTCATGAACCTGTACTTAAGTCCTTTGCTTAATAAAAACTATCTCAAATACATATTAGAGCACTTTGCTATTGGAGAAGGGAAGGGCTAAGTCTTCCCTTGAGTATCCTCTGCTGCTTATGCCTTTCTTGCTCAGTGGAGAGCAATTTTTGGCATATAAAATACATAATCCTTTCTATCAAAGTCTTCACATTCAATTCCTCCATAACAGAGAAATTAAGTGGCCCTTCCTTCCTATATGGAGAATAACCAGGTGCCCAAACATTTTATTCGGACTACATTCAAGTACAAAGTCTCTGCCTTATTCTTCCAATAGGTATGAAGTCATGCTTTTATATTTTAAGAACACCTTGTGACTGTTTAAGCTCTGGAGATAGCTCTTCTGATTTTATTTTTCCCATCACAGTACTTCAATCTGAAAAATTTATGATGTGTTTCATCATTGTGAATTTCTTTCCCTAATTTAATATCTGTTAGATGGAATGATGTAGTGCCTTGTGTAAATAATGCCTCTTACATTGGCTTTTATTCCTTAGCATTTATAGGCTGTTCCCTTTGGAGTTGGATCACTGTGTTCAAGCCAAGTTTGCAATCTTCCCTATTTGCTTTATATTCATTCGTGCTTCTGACTGGACTGCTCCCATCTACCAAAATATGAGCTTAACTAGGCAAGCTTAGTTGTGACAGCACCTAAATCTTATTATCATGGAACAGTCTTTGCACAGACTACACGGAATGTAGCAAATTGAAATAGTGGTTTCAGTGTGAGGACATAAATATTTTCTCTTTTATGGAATATTTTTGATGAAAGATAGCACAGAATCATAGAATCATTTAGAGTTGAGAAGACCCTTAAGAGTGAGCCCAGCTGTTATCCTAATGCTCCAAAGTTCATCACTAAAACTTGCCCTTAATTTCTACATCTACACATCATTAATACCTCCAGGGGTGGTAACTCTGACTCTACCACTGCCCTGTTTTCTTTAAGTGCCTGCTTGTACTTCGTGGTAAACTCTAAGAACTAATTTTTAAAAAACCTTAGTTCTAATTCAAAGCATTTTTGGAGGAAGATGGATGAAATACTAATACCTTGCATGGCAATATAATATGTAAAGTCTCTGATTAACCTTTTAAATTTAAACTCTAAAATTACCTAGAAGAATGAACTTAAACCTATGAACCAACCACACTAAGTTATTATAACAACAATTTGTTAAAATACAATTTAAGATTTCCCAAATATCTCAGATTTCTGAGAAGAATGTTTTGCTGTAAAATGAAAGGAGGGAGCACAATGGGAGAAACAATAGAAGTAATGGAAATGATACTACATTTACCTACTATTTGTGATTCTGTCATGCCATAGTGGTAGCACAGAGATCGGTACAGTACTGAAAATCCATAACATTGGTTTAACATTGGTCTTTAACTAGTTTCATGGATGTAAAGCAAAGCACACCCATTAGCACAACATTTTATATTTGTTTAAATGTTTTGTCATGAAACACTGGAGAGGTTTTCATTGATTTCTATTCTAGCTCTGTAACAGGTGTGATTTATGCCATTACCAGAAAATAAATACATAGGCATAAAGTGAATTTGTACCCTGACTGCACCATCCCTCTTGTTGGCACATAACACTGTAAGATTGGGGGTGTTTCACTCTCCTCTTTCAGGCTGATATCCATTCAGTTATTCAGAACTGAGTTTTTTAGAGTATTTATGTAATTTTGCTTCATTGTTGCTTACATCATAGTTTGGTAGCTCCTGGGTTTCAACCCTCACTTTTTCCAGCAGGTTTTTTGGACAGTTATAGCAAACTGTAGTCAAACCTTGCCGGACTTCATGTTACCAAGTTGGAAATAAATTGTGATTTTATCTAATCTAACTTCAATGTAAGGACAAATTGAAGTTTTGAAAGATTGTAATAAGAGCTGCATGAGTGTAAGCGTGTCTAACATTTTTACTGGGACAAAACCTTAAAGGACATCTGTCATGACAGGGAATATCGAAACATTGACTATATATATATCTATCAAATGAATGTATGATTAGACTTTCACAGGATGGGAATTGATCATTTGTTCTTAGAAATTCATTTCACATCACAGGGTTTTATTTGTTTCCACTTCACATGTCACTAGAATTTGTTTGTTAAACATGTTGGTTAAAGGTGTTAGGGCAGGAAAATAATTTGTTTAAATGCAACTTGTTCTGTTCTTTGGAGAGCACAGAGGTATAGTAATATAGCAAAATATGCATAAAGGAGAATTTCCATAACTAATTATTGGGAGCAGAGCACTGCATAAGGGACATGCCCAATTTCTGTCCCCCATAATTTTTATTTATTATACAATCCAGTGGATTTCACTGCAAGAAAATTCTAAAGATTATATCATGTTTGTCTCACAGCTCCAGCACAGAACAAACAGGGATATTTTTTCTGCCAAATTTTCATGCAAGAACAAGTGTTTCTTTAGTAGCTAAGTTTTCTAAAAGCACAGGGATTTCTTTAAAAATCTACTGTTAGGTAGAAGTAAGAGCTGGAGTCCCAGATTCCTGGCCTTTGGTGGACCCTCTAGACTTGTTTGCAGAGGTCTTTCCACAGAGAATTCCTTTTACGGGCTCTATCTTGTGCTGTAGTAGTTGCCTTCAGAAAATGACTAATGGTTTAATTATGCAAAAATAAATGTTTTTCATAACTCCTCCCACTGAGCATTCTCTCATATTGCATAAGAAGGGGCTGATAAATACTTATAGTCTTCGAGATTATATGTATAATTTAATTTAAATTAATTAGGCATGAATATTCAATTAACTCTGAAATAACTCTGTCCAATAGCTTAAATTCTTTCTTTCTAAGAGAGATATTTAAAATGTTATGTCAGCCAGTGAATGGATTTATTGGGAGCTCACAGCTACCTCTGTGGTAGAGCACAATTATTTATTTAAACAATATATGAATGATCAGAAATAACAAGAACAGAAAAAAGCTGCTGTTTTTAATTTGTGATAATAACATAGAATTATATTAAACCCTACTTTATGTTTTTTTCCATGCAGGCTATGCAGTTACTTTATACAGAAAATATCAGGTCTATGGATGATAGAGTGATCAATGTAATTCCTTCCCTTTTTCAAAACAGATTTTTCATCTCTGTTTTTAACAGAAAAATTCAGTATATTTTATGTAACATTTGGGGACTTAGCTACTTCTTCAAGTGCTCAGCAATTGTAGTTCTTGTACCCTTATAATTCAGTGTTGTGTTACATCTCTTTCATTGAAAAAGCTTTCAAAGCCATTATAAGACGTCTTCACATCAATGATAATTCATTTTTGCAATTTTGAAAATTAGATTACTACGTAATGGACGGCTGCTAATATGTACCTTGGAACATTTCACTTTATTCATGATTTTTGATGTCTTGTTTTCTCACTCTTTGGATTCAGCTCCTCTTTCACTCAGGTATTTTGGTGTCCCTAAGCCTTTCTGGGCCACAGCTGGAGAAGGTGGTGATTGACAGGACCCTGGTGGGGAAGCTCATCTCCGACACCATCAGTGATGGTAATTACACCCATGTGCAAATCAATTGCCTGCATTAACAATAGAGTAGAGAAACAGTATGTCAACAGGTAGACTAATTATTGCCACTGGGGACTTGCAAACACAACAAGTAATTGCATGTAATGCTATAGTTACAACCCTCAGGACTAAGAGCACTTTAAGAATAATATTTAACATCAAAGTTTTCAGGCTTGTCAAATGCTGCATGGGTTTCTAAAAGCCCGTTTCTTACACACTGTAATCACTGTGAGCATGCCATTTGAACGTGTCATGTTTATTTCGTAAGCGGGAAAATGGGACAGAACCAAACATTAGCCAATTGAATAATTGCATGGGATAGTTATTATTAAAGTTGTTATTAAAATAGGCTGGATAACATTAGTTATGTGGAGGTGTTCTGATTTAGTTTCTTGATACCCAGAATCTCCCTATTGTTATTAACTAGTGGCTGCTAAAAATTAACTTTTCATTTAATGCAGAAGAAAACTTACAAAAGTGTCTCTGTTTTCCATAGCTTTATGATATGACTCATAATATTGAGAAATCAACTGCTATCTTGGCTTCTGCAGAAACAGGAGTATGAAATTTTGGTGTAAGCCATATTACATGTGCACTACCTTCCAAATTTTTTAAGAGTAAACCCACATTATGTCCTTCTAGTAAGAATATGCACTTAGTTCAGGTTTGATCTTTAATGGTTTAATTTTCTCTCTACCCAGGCATCTATTGAATGTTGGTCTAGGTTTTAAGAAACTCCAATACTGTGTCTCACTGATCTTATGTATGGTAGTTTAGTCTTGAAAATTAATATTGATATAACTATATTTGTAGAATCTTAACTTATTAAAAAAATTTAAGCCAGACCTCATTTTTTATTAACTAATTACACTGAGAGAATAGAACACATTTACTATTTTGTCTTCCTTTTTTCACTCTCCAGCTTAATGACTGGACTTCTAATTCCATCTGTGATTTTTTGCACTCTGTTTCTGGGGGGATGATTTCCTAATTTCAGGTGACAAAAAATAGGAAAGCATAGAATCTAAGGTTATTCCTAAATTAAAGTAGTTTGTGGAAATTATTTTGAATACTTTGTCTTTAACGTATATTTGGCTTAATATGTCATAGAAGCACTTGTTCAGAAAATACTGCTAACTAAATGAGCTTACAGCTAAAACAACAATAAAGCAAGAAATATGTTTTATTACATTATAATACGTATATTTATTACATAAATAACATTATATAATGTTTTGTCCTTGTTTTCACATATGCAGGATTTCCTTAAACCTCCATGTTTGCTAACAGACAAGTCTGTAGGTGAAATAAAACTGCCTCTGTTCAGTAAAAGCAAACCACTCAATAACTTTCATTACAATACACTTTTTATTTTTCAGGAACAATAAAAGAAGATGCTTTTGTTACCCATACAAATAGTGCTCAAAATACAAACTTTTACACTGAACCATCGTTGCATGAGAAACATGAGATAATGTTGTCCTAGAGGAAATTAATTTTAATTCAAAGAAACAGCACATCTTTCCAAATCTGGCTTCAAGTTAGGGTTGTGATTATAAAGCTGGCCAAGAGAAATTCTACATTTAGCACAAGCTTGTATAAAAATAATAGTTCTTACTTCAGCAATTGTGTATATGTAGAAATGGATATGGGTTACAATCTGCCAGAAGTACTTATGAAATTTTGTAATTCTCATTTGGAGTAGCCTGTCTTCTTAACATTTGGAATAAAGGTCAGATTGTGTGCACAAAATACAGAATTACTACAGTTTTTATAATCCTTCTGTATCTAAGAAAGTCCTCCTGATTCTTATTATTTATAGGCAAAATTTCATCAGCATCTGAGGTGTGCTGCAGCTCATCTTTAATGCAAACTGTGTCTGTGAGGACATCAAAATATTTTAACTGTGTGCATGCATATTGAGGATACCATATTCGGTGGTTTTCAAATTTCATGTGTTTGCAGGATCTCAGTTATACCTTCTGAATCACCTTATCAGATGCTTTATCACCTTTTTTTTTCTTTTTCCAAAAAAGCTAGTGTTAATGTTACATTTCAAAGGCAATTATTTGGCTCTAAACCCTACCCTTTAGCATTTGCATACCAGATACTTCAGAGTTGTGCCAGGACATGACTGTTGGAAAATGCAAGTGGTTATAAATCAGACTATAGAAAAGCAAAGCTCAGTAGCTAGTTTTACATATATGTAAGACTATACTGTCAATCTACTTAAGGATATGTAAAATTTAGATTTAAGAATCTGGGATATAAGTAATAAATTGTATTTTTTAAAATTTCTTTTTCAGAGGTTGTTCCACAGAGGGTTGTGTGTTTGTTTCTAAATCTGGTTCCACTTTAATTGGCATTTTCCTTTTAGGAGTGGTTTCTGAGTTTACAGTCTGAGCACAGCTTCATTTCAAACCATCAGTGATCTGGTACTACTTACCCCAATGACTCATTTCACACTCAGGCATCTCTTCAGCTGTGGGTGCTGCTTGAATAACTGGATAACTCTTGGGAAAAGTTCTCAATACCATTTTCTAAGTAATTGTCATTGACAGATTAATCACTTTTATATTGAACTAATTTGGTCTAGCACCCTCTTATGGTAACAGTGAGGATTCCACTGAGCTTTTCCAGACTCCAAGGGAGTCTCTTCCATCTTGATTACTTGTATTGTTTGGGTACCCCTGTGTGAAGCTTTCAGTGAATTCATAACTCCTCTAAAGCCTTGTCCTGCATGTTCCAGCCTCCTCGGTGTCTGCAGCAGCACCAGGAACCTTGCAATGTCAAAATACCAGATACACCTCAAGTACTCATTTGCATTCATCACCCTTAACACAAGCTGAGCTATATGAGGTCCATTTGCAAAATACTGGTGGATGCAACCATAAGAAAAAAAAACACTACTGAAGGCTGAATACTGAGATGAAAATTAATGTGGAAGGGCATAAAATGTATATTTGAATGTAGTGGCATTTTGGTATGAGATAATTTATTCAGGTGTATGTAATCAGAGTATTCCATAGGCTTTATTTCTCATTTCCAAGAAGGTGCTGACAGGATGACACACTGATAAGTTTTAGGACTTTACAGGGCTTTCAGTGTGATATTTAAGGCACTGTCTTGAAAAAAAATTGCTTTTTGCAGCATCTCAGTGGAGGGTTCACTACTTTGTTTGTTCCTAGAGACAGGTATTACAGTGCTGACAATTTTTATTTGGGTTTTTTCAGCTGTTCTTACAGACAATTTCATCATCTTGTCATTTGAGGACCATAACCAACTCTGCTTTATTCAGTTTACGAAGACAATGGATTCTTCCGATGTAAACAAGAGACTGGAAAAACTCTCTTCTTTGGACTTTAAGGTATAGCTGCTAATGGTGACTGCAAATATTGCAGGAATTATACATCATGTATCACTGGTATTCACTGATATTGTGTAGCCACAAAATTGCAAACCTTAATATAATTGACCAGAGCAGCTCAAATTCCAAAAATGGCGGTTACTGAGAAGTCAAAAAATTAGAATGGCATTCTGAGTTAAAGAGTTAAAATATTGTGCCAAGGGATCCAGATTTTTACTGTGTTTATTTTCAGGCTCAGACACACATTTGAGTTACCCCTGCTTGACGGATTACCTTGTGTTCATTGAGCAGCAGTAAGTGACCCTTGGCACATTCTTGGCATCTAACAAGCATGAAGCAAAGTCTGTAATGGTAAACCGTACTGTAAAAGATTTAAGTTAATGTGTTTTACCTCTTGTGTGTTGTGGGCTGACAACTCACATGGTGTCTCAGCTGATAGACACAAACACATGAAGCTCTGATAATTCAGTCATCTGTCTGAGGTCCAAGACTTTTGTAATTCTTTGCAGAAATCCTTATTTCCCCACTAGTTACATTAATGGTGTTGTTGGGACAGTTGCTTTTAGCATTAAGCCACTGAGTAAGGAATCAAGATATAGAAGCTGAGCTTCTCACCACTGGCCAGCTATGTGTGTGACGTTATGCAAGTGACTTGGTGCCTCAGTGTCTCAATTTACTAGTTACACAGTGAAGATTTAAATAGTCCTTTTGCAGCCTTTTTTGTGGGGATGTGTCTTCACTACAGTGACATCAGCAGTGGAAAGGTAGCCTAGACAGAGCTGAGCTGAGCTTTAAACTGCCCAGTCTGGAGATCAGTGGAAACCAGCTCATCTCACGATGGATTGGGCTGGGTAGATGTAACTTATTTGAATCATAAGCCCTTTGGCATCAGGACACCACTTCCTTAGGTGGAAGTATTTGGTGCTACAGCAATATGAAAAAATAATCAGCCAAGGCAATTAACTTTGAACAGTTGAAGCAGGGAAGGGGCTGCATCTAGTTCACTGCAAGAATGAAGAAGGGTCAAGCCTTTTCCCAGGAAACGCAGCAAGATGTTGTGAGCAAAAGAGAGAGTTTGTATTTATTTCAGACTGGATAAACATTAAAGAAAACAATCTTGTGCTAGCAAATATTTTCCCCTTGACAACCCTTCAGTAATTTACTTCCTCACATAAGGGAGCTTGCATCTGCAAGGCAAGCTCTTTAAGGATATGTTTAATTTAAGTTTTGCCATAATGTGTTTTAACTTGCTTGGTAGAAATACTTTCTGCTAGGATTAATATCTAATACATTTTCCAGGCTGTTTCAGTTCAGGGCTTCTTTTCAGCAATGGCTTGTGTTTGCAAGATTGATCCAACCTCTATAACGTGGATTTGAGACAGTTCACTGTTCACTGGGAACTGAGCTGATACATACTTTACTTTAAAATGCTGTGCCTTGTGCCTGGCCTGTGGTGTTCATTGAGGCTGTGCTTTGGGAGCAAGCCTGGTGTGTGGTGGGGCTTTTTTCTTAATAGCACTAAAGTTTAACGAAGAAGCTGTGGTGAACTGCCTTTGTCATTGAAGTGTGAGGGCCACAGCTCCTGATTTAATGTTTAGAAAAACCAGAAGTGTCTGCTGCACTCCTTAATAGGGTTGTTAAGTTCAGTTCTTTGCTGACACAGCTGAGCTTCTCAAAACACCTCCATGCTCAACATTAACTCTGCTTTCTCTTGAAATCAGTGGGAATCACTATGGAACATTTCTCCACCAGCCAAAAAAAGGCATTTGCATTTTTTAATTGAATGTTCTTTTGTGTGAGGCTTGCTAGTTAGGCAGCTAAATATAATTTTTATTATCTTCAGAATTGCACCAGTGTGACACTGCAGAAAATATTATTCACTTCTGCAATAATATTGTGTCAGCTCTCTGCATTGATTTACTGTTCTTCATGGCTGATTTTGGTCAAACCTCAAAAGCTGGAAGATCACAGACATAGCAGTAGTGTCACTCAGTAGAAAAATAAGATGGTCCTCAATTGCAACTCTGCAAACTTGTAATTGTATGTAACAATATGTAACAACAACAAATGTTGTGGGTTTAGGGGAAAAAAAGGTTCTTTAGAGTTGGGGTTTTGTTCAAGAGAAATTGGATGAAAGAGGTAGTGTGCACTGTTATAGAACTAACACAGGATTAAAATCTGAAGCCAAGATTCAGGAAATTTGATTGTAACCTTCATTTCTGCCTCTGACTTTTGGCATAGTCTTGAGAAATGTAGTATTTGGTTTACAGTCCCATTTCTACAATGAGGAAAGTGTTTGTAATGATATAATTAAATTTCTGTCATATTATCATTGTAATGATAAGTAACCTCACATTGTTCAGTTTCCAGGCTCATGGTGGGCAAAATTGGCAGCAGTGCTGGACTGCCAGAGTTCTGTAAATAATAAGATCAAGTCAACCATGCTTTCCTCCTCACAGTTTGATATTTATCCAAAAGTCGAGTTTTTTATGCAATGCATACCTAAATTAATGAATTAATCTCCCTATGCTCTTACTTTCTAATTGATACCACCTTGAATTGTATTTGCACTTTGAAACAATAAACAATTACTATATGAATCACTACAGTCTTCATGACCAGCAAAATAGAAAACCAACTGTTATTATTTACGTTTTCTCAGTGACATGAGTTCATGTTTGAGAGTGACATGTCTAATGCAAGACATAAAGGTCAACAAAGATTTGTGGCTGTTATGACATGTCTGATTGTTATGAACAGTTAACACTACAATAGAGGACTAATCGATACTCGTGGAAGTATTTGTGCTTTTCCAGCCTAATTGTGTTGTCACCAAATTAGCTATTCTAATTCAAGTAGCAGCTACCTCTTAACTATTGTGTATATTTTATCTTTACCCCTGAAAATATTTTGACCAGTAAAACACAGGATATTCTGAAAATATTGACCTTTTCCAAGTTTTTCCTGTCTGTTTAAGTCCATTTCAATTTACTGAAGGAGACAAAACAAGGAGTTAAATGTTTACCATGAGAGAACAACATTGGTAATTACTTTGATTTCAGTTCCTTTTTATGTGTATTCATGGGATGAAGAGGTCAATAATATTATGACCATGCAAATAGAAAAGGGTTCTTTTTGACCATATAAAAAACAGCAAAGGATTATTAAAGCATTAACCTTGATTTTAATGGCCTTGGTTGAGAGCTGAGATCACAATTTGGATGAGCCTGATTATTTACTAAATACAATACATAAATGCAACGGGTTCTTAACACCCATTGCACTCTGGCATTATCGCATTACTGCCAGCCTTTGTTGCCTTGCAGACAGGAATATGAAAGCAATCTGTCATGTAGTGAGACTGGCTCCAGAAGCATTTCTCTGATAAGAAGACCCCCTGCCCTTTGCTAGTGTCTGGTCCAGTAGGCTTAGCCATGCGCTTAATCCCCAGAAAGTGGTTCGATTATTGCTGACCAGCAATGGCAAGATAGTTTTTTTTTCCCCTAGCTATCAACCTTCCATTAATTCCTTAAGCAGAAATGCGGTGCAATCTATATTTCCTTGGCATGTGTCACCCAGATGGTGCACTGCTCATGTTTTCAAATAACCATGCTCCAAATAACAGAGTTTGAATAATAAATTCCACAAATCCTTCCTGAGAAAGAGGCACAATTCTCAAGAGCTGCATAAACTTTACGCATGATGCTGTAGCTCATCCACATTATGCAGAAAAGTATATGTTCTTTTGCAAAGCGGATGTTTGTGTTTCCATCCCTTAATTTGGGAGGGAAGAAGAAAGATATATGTTTGCTCAAATACTGTAGAATATATTTAATATTTGATTATGTCTTAAACACTAGCCTTAGTGTTTAGCTCCGTGGTCAGCTTTGCAGAACTTGTCATTTAATATGGCTAAGCTTAAATCCTGTGTGGAGGTCGATGCTGTCAAGCAACCATGACTGTACATTTTGGTATTGATTGGAGTCATTGCAGTAAATTCCTTCTTAACTCATATTCCTTTCCATCCCAATCCCCTCCCCACAGATAAAAGAGTGAGCATGTCTTTCTGTCTGAGGAGATATTTTTCACGTTTACAGACAGCCTCTATGAAGATATATGTACGCAGAGCTCTGTGTATATATACATTCTTTCTCACACGTCCAAAGTAATTCCTCCCATTTGCTCCTACCATGCTATTTTATCACCTCCAACATTTCCTGCATTTTTTTCTTCCCTCAGATTTCTTATGTTGATATACTTGGACCAGAAGGTAGAAGGATGAAACGTCACCTGGCAATAAACTGTATGCAAGATCTGGTCATTTGCTGGTGGTCAGCAACCAGTGATGGAGCATGGCCTTGGTCTCCTATTTCCTGTCAGAGGGACAGAGCCAACCTATTGCTATTAGGCTGTGCACATGGCAAATTGGAGGTAAAGTGATGAACCGTCTTGTTACATTATTTTTTTGAATTTGCTGAAGAAAGAGCTACTCATCTTAAATGCATATTCAAATAGATATAAAGAACAAATACGATTAAAATATAAGACAGGAAAATCAGCCATTCTAGTAGTAAAAACAAAGGTTTGTTATTTAACAGAAAAGCACCTTATTTACTTTGTTTATTATTTTCACATCAAAACTGTCAACCTGAGAAATGTAGCCAGGAAATTAGGTCTTTTTCATGAAATAGCTTTGGTGCTGCTGACACTGAAAATAGAAGTGTCAGAGTTCTATTAGAAAACTCCAAAATTAATTAGAATTGTAACTGTTGCATGTATGTCTGTTGCAATTATTTTACATTGTCTGCAATGTTAACTGATAGACAATTTGCATCTCTTTCAAGTGTTTTTCATAAAATATTAACTGTGCCCAGATGGTGGTTAAAGTTTTGTTATGAGTATTGGTCAAATGAGGGGCTGATATTTTTCTCAAAGGAAAAGTTAAAACACACCATCTACAGGTGGGAATGTAAGCTGTAAGTTAGGACAAAGCTACAAGTTGACCCCCCCTCCTGACACATGCTTAGCTTACATTTATAGGCAGATGTTTTAATTTCAATTATTTAATTTTTGATTAATGTGTTTAAGAATATTTGACTCCAATTTGTTTGGTTAGGTAGAAATATTAAAATGAAGCTATCTGAGCATACTCTGAAAGATCTGGAGTCTGAATTTAAAATATAAAAGCTTTTCTGGACAAACATCTTGTATAGATGCTTCTCTATTTGGAATTTTATTTTTAGTTTATCTTTACCCACTTCTAATATGGACTAAAAAGGCACTGACTGTGGGAGAAGAGCACAAACTCGAGGATCAGCTGTGGAATAGTTGTTCTGGATTAGCTATTGCGGACTATTTCCCTGTAGGGAAAACCCCTAAGTAACATTTAAAAATAAGCTACTTTTACAAACAGCATCCTCCTCTCTTTAATTAGGGAAGATGTAAATGTTTTAATGTCTTGAAACTATTACTTTGATAACTAATATTAATTTAAGTGAGATTCTTTTCCCTTGGGATTTTCTACCTATTGAAAGTGAAGAGAAAAGGTAGCTGAGACAGCTTTTCTTTTCTTATTTCTGTCATTAGTCACTGTAGAATTGAAGTTTAAATTACCTCCAGCTCTGCCTTCTTTACTTCTTTTCAATTGACCTCTCTCCACTTGCGGTCATCTTTGACTCATCTCTCTCCTCTGCCTGATCTACACCTGCAGTTCTCCATTCCCCCTGCAGCTATGCCAAATCATACAGAAAAAATTACTCTGGGAGCTAAAATGTGAGGCTGTTCTTTGTAAGCTTTTCCAGCCCTGTGCCAGTTATTATGAAACTTCATCCTACTAACATTTCAGACCTTATTTTTACCATGATTTCTGCAGGACAACATTCCCAGGCCTATTTTATTCTTTCCCATGTCTTCCAGAAATCTCCATATTGCCACCATAGCAGTTTGCAGTCTCGGTTTCCTGAGATGGTTTTTAGAGACTCTTTTCTTTTAAGAAATTAACAGAAACCACCCTATCAGTTTAAAGCTCTCTATGTTTCATTTAATATGTTTTTAGGGAGATTTCCAAGTCACAGCATTTCCCTGCATCTTTCAATACATCTTGTTTTATCCTTTTCTGGTTTAAACTCTGGTATAGTCTCAAGCACATCACTGGTGTTTTACACAATAGTGATAATAAACATTCTCTGAGGCTTTAGGCTTAAGATCATAACAATTTTAATTTGGCCCATATTGTAACAGAAATATAAGAAACTTCTTTTTAAAAGCAGTACTGCCAAGTTTGACTGTTCAGTTGCTTTCCATTTTCTGATTCTTTGCCTGTACTTTTCCGTTTTAATTCTTAGATCTTCAGATGAAATTTCTTTTCCTGTATTCATCAATGAAATACCAAGCGCTATGCCAGGGCAATGGAAAGCTAAGTCATATATGTGTAACAAACTGTCTTGCTGTTTGTCAGTTAGGCTGTCCCAAGTATTCAGCTCTTGGATGCTCAGGAAGGCTCAGGTCACTCTGCCTGTACACTTAGCCTATGTGTCCATGATGAGTCACCCATGGTGCTGTTTGCTGAGGTCTTTTGTTTGATTTCTATAGAGTTCCTTATGGGCAGGGATTAAATTCCTGTGCATGGATGGGAGAATATCATAACCCAGACATTCTAGAATTAGCATCAGCCTCCAGTCTACATTTAACTGAGGTGCATTTTTCCCCTACAGTCTTGAAGAGAAACTTTAACTTAACATCTTTAACTTCTGAAGGACATTTGATAGCTTATATGTGAAAAAAAGCATAGTTACCATTTCCAGACAGCTTGTAAACAGTTACTGTCTAGGTCAGATACCACAAAAGGCAGTGGTTCTGTAATCATGCTTATTTGCCTTTCTTTTCCTCTAATCCCTTGCCATTGTAGTATTCCTCAGGTATAGATTTGAAAAAAGAACTGGACATGCCATTGTTATTCATGAAAGGAAATCCATATTTATCATATTTGGCCAGTAATATTAATTTACTCTCAGTGAAAGACTATTATCAATATAAGAAGAATTAGAAGTGTGAACTTACTCAGTTTAGAGCATTTATCAAAATCAAGTATAGTAAAGTAATACCACCAACATTTTCCTTGGAAATAGTAGCATCAGCTGGATAGAATAGCATTATTATCTAGAATCAGGAGAAAAACAGAAATTGCTGAACAACATGACCATAAAGAGCTGTTTGGCATGTTGGGTTTATGAAACCAAGCCCAAGGAAATGAGTGGGTGCTCACCACAGCCATCACCTCAGTGCTGACTTACAGAAACCACAAAACAACCTGCCAGCTGCTGCCACTCCTGCTGCTGGGGCAGAGCAAAGGCAAATGGGCACTTACATGGTACTGCTTCCTGCCTGGAAGAATTTTCTGAGTGATCCTGGCTGCCCAGCAGAAGAGTGCTTATTAGGATGAGGACAGGAATAGCTCTGGGATGAGACAGCTCAAGCTCTCATCATGATCATCACCTGTAACTACACGTTCTGTGTTGGGATGATTCACACTGCATGAGGAGTGTTTGGGGCATTGTGTACTGCAGCAGCTTCTCAATCCAGGGAAGGAAATACATTTTACTTTTTAAATACACGAGAAATTTGATTTGAATTTTGCCACGTGGCTTTTTATTTTTAGCATTTACTACTATTAAGGCTACAGGTAACCTCTATTCCTCTACAAACAGAAATAACTTTTTCCTCACAAATCTTGACTTATTTTACTGATTTTTTTTGCTGAGATGGGTGTTTACTGTGTTGAATGCTGTAAGATATGGTGAAGAATTGTCCCTTGAAGAAACGAAAGTGCTTTTCTCTGTAGCGTGCTTCCGTGTGCAATGCATGTTGCTGCAGGAGGGTTTGTCTGTTGGACCTTTGTCTGCTTTCCTGTATGCATGGGTTTCCTCCAGTAAACTCACCCATTCTCTAATTTATTTATTTAATTACTGGAGGTTTGTTTGGTTTATTTTGTTTGGGGTTTGTTGGGTTTTTTTAACCTTAAAGTACAAACAATCAAAGAATGTTATTTAAATTGTATCCCTGTGGAGATAATGCTGGTGTTTTGATTTCAAAACCAGGAGAGGAATCTTCCAGAAATTATTTCAGACAATTTGCTATGAATGAATAGGATCTGATGTGAAATCATCTTTGGATTAAATGCTTTGGGAGAAAGTCGTGTTAAAATCAACATGAACTTTATTTTGCAAACACAAATTAACAGGAGATGCTGATGCCAGGGCACAGTTATTGCAGCACTTTGCATTTGTCTTCACCATTCTTATTTTCACTCCATTTAGTGCTAGTGGGAATGACTGAAATTATACTTCAATCTTGTGGAAAAAATAATTTCCCTGAGAGAGAATATTATTTTTCTTTCTCCCAAGAGATAATATTTAATAGTTATTGCTTTCATATTGTGCCTCGGATTTGTGAAATAAGCACAGCAGATCTTTTCTGTGTGAGCTGTCCTACAGTTACTGGAGTGCTCAGAAAAACATCTACCCTGTGTGTCTGAATGGCTGAAATACCTCTCACACACATACAGCAAAGAATGGGAAATCCTCAGTGTCACATTGGGTTAGAAGTTCAATGAATAATACAGGATAAAGATGATGATGATGATAAATTTTGAAAGAAAATAAGAATAAGCGTTGACTGGAGATCTAAATAATAAGATTGCATGTAGGTCTGTAGATACAATGAAGCCAAATAAGTAACCTAGAGTAGGAGCTTTTAATTTTTATTCAGAAATGTTTTAAAATAGGGTGATTTTTTCCCTTTCAACTTCACTAGGCCATATTTAAAACTATTTTACTCTGGTGTGCACCACACTTCTCACTCTGCATTTCTAATTAAAATGTTTGTTGCTATTTGGAACCTCACTGTGTGAAATTAAATAAGCACTTTTTTAACATCCATAAAATAAATCAAACATTCTTTTCTCATCTGAAAGACACACAGTTCAGTCACAGCAAGCTTGTTTCTCTGTTTCTTTTGTTTTCTTTTTTTCATCTGCCTGGTAAGCCAATTTTCTGCTTAAGAACTACTGGTTAAAACTCTTACTTGTTTTGCTTTGTAGACTTTATCCTTTCCCAGCACTCTATGCAAAATACTTCAATTTTAAGTGTTCAAAAAATTTCACTGAGAAGAGTGATACTGCCCACACAAGCTAGCACTATTATTTCTCTCAAACATAAAATGAAAGAGAGTGTTTTAAATAGCATAGCAGGCCTCTTATTTACAAAGATGAACAGATTCCTTTACTTGGAGTGTTATGATTCCTGGCTCTAGGATTTGGGAACCTGGCATGCATAGCATCCCTTATCCTGCTGATGAACTGAAGCAGAGTCCAAGGCAGTACTGTAATATAAATATAAATGTGCTGTAGTGGTGCATGATTGCTACATTAATAAAGGAAATATGTATAAATTACATGGACAGTATTTAAATGAATGTACTGTATTTTTGTAACATTCATGTCATAAAACTTTTAATTTTTTTAATTCATGTATTTATTTTAAAGAAAGTAATTGGTTTTACTTCATGCAAAATAATTCCAGAAGTCTTTTCTTGAAATCCAAGGCTAAGTGCTTAGTCCAAGATTTTTGGGAATCATTGAACATTGAATGGACTGTACACCCTGCCTTGTAATATTGCAGCTCTGTCTTTTCAGACCCACTGCCCTGTCCCCTCCTCCACAAATCTGACATTTGTTCTACCCATTGCTGAGGAAACTCCTCCTGCTTTTGCTTTCCCATTCCATAAGAAAATGTTTTGTTAAGTGATTTAATGTCACCTTTTAGGGTTCCAGAAAACTGCTTCTCATCAGGAAGGAATCTCAGTGTATTCCTTTAAATGGAAAGCTAAAGAACTATATGCACTACATTCACTACCATGTGTCTATTTACCAGATAGGAAAACAGTTGACAGAATACCATCTTCTTGGGGAAAAGAAAAAAAAAGTTTTGATTATTAGACTTATCTTTCAAAAGCATTATTATCTTTCTGTAGTTGTGTGTCTCTCTGTTTTAATTATTGAGTTAGTGGCATGAGAATGAATAATAAAACTAATTTCTGACAGAGAAACCCAAATCTTCCCTCTCAGATGGAAGAGAATATTCATTTTTCCCCTTCAGAATGCTGAATACCAGATACATTCAGCAGAACTGGGAGGCAGAACAAAGAGGTCTCTCGGCTTGGTTCTCTTCCTGCAAGAGGCACATGAGGCCACTGATGCATGAGAAGCAGCTTATCTGTTCCAATTTGGGGAGAAATGATTCTCTTGTTTTCAGCCAGAATTTGAACAGCAGTGTCTAGAAAGGTTTCCTTTAAGCCTTATGTGTTTAAACATTATGCCAAACCTTATGTTTTGAAAGGCAACAGAGAGTTTCTCTCCTTGCAGGAACTTTTTCCTGGTTAAGAATTGTGTTATATCCAGCAACCAGACCTACCCTAGACTTCATTTCAAGGATTTGCTCTCAAAACTATGTGAAACTAGGAAGCTTCTCATCTCAAGACTCATTAGATTAATCTTCCAAAATGGAAGATTTTACTTCCTTTGGTAAGTGATTTACTTCCTCTAGGTAGTGATCATCATTTTGTCCTACTTTTGCTCTAAGAAGGCAGGACAAAATGATGAATTGGTTGCAGTTCCCTTGCTGACTCTCAAAGAATCATATGGCAACATTTATTTTTCTGTGACTATTTCCATTGCTGGTTTCCTCCAGTCACTCCTATGGAGTTGTAAAATCCATGTTTCACATATTTTCTTGTCTATTGCCTTAACCTTCAAGGCCAGTCTCTCTTCAGAATTTAATTTAATTTGATGAGAGCTTTCAGGCTCTCATCTCTCATAGGCCTGATTATTTTGAGGATCTTCATGACTTTCTTGGAGCTTTTGAAGAGTTGTCCTGAGAAAAATCCTGGTTTGGGGTCAAAATATGTAGCAGAATAATGCAGTACATTGAAACTTCCCAGAGGAAGACAGAAAAGTGAGTCCAAGAAAGCCTCAAGGCTCATTTCACTGAAGTTGTGGAAGCTTTGAAGACTTGCTTGGGCAAGATTTCTGTTTCACACATTTGAAAGGAGCTGCCTGGGTCTCTATACATACTCCTAGGGAAAACTGCAGAACAAACAGTAACACCTCTTTGTCTTCATTTGGGGTTAGAGAACTCTGTGGTCACAGTAATCCTTTGTCCGCAATAACCTCTTTTGGGAGTTTCCTTGCTATGCAATTTAACACCCTAATAAACACACTTCAGCAGTTCTAACATCTGCACAGTGGCCACTGCAAGGTTTTGTGGGCATAAAATGACTTGTTGCAGAGGCTAAGCCATTGGTGAGGGAATGGTTGAGGTGAGAAAGTGTTTTTCAGACTAGAAAAGTAATGTAATCTTTTATTTCCTCTTTGACACATATTGTCATGGATCTCTGTTGAGATTGGTTGATGTGGTTTTCACAGGTTAAATGCATTGGCTTCTGCAGCAGGTGCTTTTGCATTAAGTGATTCTTTGCATGTCCCTAGCTACTCATTTAAAAGTAGCAAAGATTTTTGTATTAACTGTCATCTGGTTTCCAGCCAGAGCATTGCAATAATCCCTTTTTTCATTCTTTTGATTGAGAAGCCCTTTTGCGGACAAAATAAGTAAACTGTCAGAACAAAATATCCTAATCAGTCTGATCAACTTCCCAAAAATCTTGTTTAAAAATTTATCAGTTACTTTAGAAGTAATGGGTAGTATGCCAAAAAAACACCTGAATTTCTTATTCTCCTTTACAGGATGAAAGGTTAAACTGCTTATTCAATTGGTCTTGTGATCTGTGGAAATCAAATTTAAATTGCTCTAACATTATGTGTGCCTTTCTGTTTTCACCCTGAAATGTCTAGATTTCCTTCCTCATCCTCTCTCTACCTTTTAATCACATTTTTTACTCCTTTCTGTGCTTTCACACCCCGTGGACTCAAGGGGCTTCCAAAAGTTGTGGCAGGTCAGCAGCTTTAATTTACAATGTGGAGATTGCTGTGGGTATACATGAGAGCAGGGTTCAGCTCAGGTTCACATTTTCCTTTCACTCTTTATTTCTGCATGAACAAACACCAGCAAGTTTCTCGCTGGCTTCCACTACTCTCGTTCTTCTAGAGCCACAGGTTTTCTCTCTATTTTTTATGAAATATCTTTTCATAAGCTCATCTGTAACTTATTTACAGCTGTTGTTTCTCTCATGGTTTCCCTGTTCAAATCCTGTACAGTACCTCTCGTTCAAACCCATTTAGACCTGTACATAAACCTCCACTGGTCTCCTCTGCTGCTTCCACCTCTTAAGGGTAATTCCCATGTTTCCATACTACAGATTCTTGCTCTTTGCCAGCTGCTGTCTTTTTATCACATTCTGCCTTTTTGTTCTTCCTCCCATTTGTTTAACTTTCAAGTACCCTGTAATGGTCCCTGCTTTTCTGCTGTCACAAATTCATTATTTCTGCATCTAAAACTGTATGGCACCCAAGAACACCTACTCACCTGGCAATGTATAGTAGGTGCTGTTTTAACACGCCATTGTTTCTACCACTACAGAGTAATATTTTCTGTTACCATGGCCCAAAGCAAATGATCAAAAATCCTCTATGCTTGATGCTAAGAGTAATTTACTATAGATTTTTTCCCAGAATTTTGGGATTTTTACCCCAAGCCACTTGTGAATAATTAGTTATTCTTCTACATCAGTCCTTTCTTCTCTTACCATCACTGACCATTCCCTCTTTTATCTTCAGTTCTGCTAAACTGTTAATAAGTCCAGACAAGCAAATATGGTTCAAACTCTATTGCAGAGGTTTTTTAAATGAAATTAATTGATCTTTTAAATATTAAAAGTGTATATTTCAGAGCTCCACTTCAAGAATGCCTACTTGTGACTGCCCCACAGGAGAGCGCATTCGCAGCAGTCTATTTTTAAGAGTAAATCACTACAAATGAGTACCAAAAGGCTTTGGCTTTTTGCCAGGTGCTGAGTTACGTCCGCACGGAGTGGGAGCCCCTGGATGCCAGGTTCAGCTCTGTGCAGCCCCAGCAGGTGCTGACTGTGGAGCGCTCGGTGTCGGCAGCCAAGGAGCCCATGGCCGACAGCTGCGTCTACAAGTGCGTCAGGAGCCGAATCCAGTGCGCCGCCGTCACCAGGGTCCCCCTGCGAGCCAGGGCCATCAGCTGCTGCAGGGATGTGACAGAAGACAAGCTGGTGCTGGGCTGTGAAGACTCCTCAGTAGTTCTGTATGAAGCCTACAGCCAAGTGACTCTGCTGGCGCAGGCAGAGCTGCTCCCTGCTGTAGTAACCTACCACCCTTCTGGAGCCGTGCTGCTGGTCGGCAGCTCTCAAGGGGAGCTGCAGCTTTTTGACACAGCACTGTCCCCAATTAAAATTCAGCTCTTGGCACAGGAATATTCACCTGAGGCAACTCTGCAATTCAGTAAACACTGTGACGTGCCCACCAGCCTCATCCAGATCCAGTGGGCTGCTCCTCCAGTGGCATTTCCCAGTCCTGACAACATGGATATTCACGATCTTTTGTTGGTTAGATTTGATAAAGGACCCTTGGGAGTGCTTCACTTTAAACTTGGTAAGTTACTGAGCACATCTGTTGAACCTTGAGTTGTCAAAGAAACATCTGTATCCCACGAGGTTGGGAACACCCTAATTTTAAATATATGAGACCATAGCCTTAAAAGCAAATGGCTCCAAAGATACCTGAAGATACCAAGGAGTTCTTTATGTTTCACAATAACTTTATACCTTTTCCTATTATAAAATAGGACCCCGACCTGCTGTCTGATCAGCATCCTATAATGTTCTTCACTACTTTAATAAAGTATAACAAATTTTCCTCTGGAAAATTCATTTAATCTGTAGTATATAATCTTAAGATATTGTATACATTCTGTAGTAATAACCCTAATTGTATACATTCTAATTGTATTCAACCCTAATTGTATACATTCTGTAGTAATAACCCTAACAAGTTAAAATAAGCTATACTTAATAATAGAACAGTAATGCTATTTTCTTTACCAAATTTTTTTTTGCATGTGTGATCTATATTGTCCAATATTCTGTTCTTCCTGGCTTCGGTATATGAAGTTGCACCTTTTTTTTTTCCTCTGAAGGCTTTCCACAGAAGAAGAATGATTTTCATAACCTTCAGAGAAGTTTTTTCTCTCAATTAATTTTCAAGGAGTTGTGAATAAAAGAAGTAATAATGCTAATTTTAAAATTTATATAGCACTTCTCTTTTTAGGTGTGAAGAGACTTTCAAAGAGTAAAACCACAACTAACTTCCTTTTACAAGCAGAAAAACAAGAAGCAGTAAAGAAAAGCTAAAGGGCTTTCCAAGAGTTACACAGTGGCTGAACTAAGAATAAAACCCCTGCAGTGGCTCATCAGTGAGAACTGTATTCATTTCATTCAAGTCAGGCAAGTTACAGTGGTGCAAGCCCATTGTGTGAGCTAAAAAAACAATCATGCTTAAACCCTCTGACTCCCAAGCCAGTGTTTCAGCAGGGCAGACAGCCATCCTGGAAAATTTCAGCATTTTGCCCATTGTCTGTCCAAGAAAACAGGATTACTTCTGTAGATCTTCCTGAGAGTTTTTAATGATTCTTTTGTATAAAGCTATTGAGATTAGGAAGAAGCCTTTTTTATTAAAAAAACAAACCCAAACAAATTGCCAAAAGACTCAAAATAACAACCTAGATGATAGTAAGATTTAAAAATCTATTTAATTTATTTACTTGATGAAACACACATGTACTTTTGTGGGGGAAAAACTGTCAAAAAATGACCAGAGACCTAAAAATTTGAAAGACTGAATTAAAAAATTTTAACCAAGTGTGCCACTGCAAAAAATGAAATTTATGTAATAGGATGTTAGTAATAAAAAGATGTTGGATTGGCTTATAGTTGTGTAGTTTTAAAAGAGCTGATCCAGATTATTGCTGTTATCCATGAAAACTGTTTAAAAACCTGTTTTCAGGTTATCATTCATTTTGAGATAATTAACTGCATTAAGTTCAATGACAGGTTTAATAGTTACAGTGTACCCCAGAACACTAATTATAACAGCCATTTGACGATTTTGTGCATGTTGGCCATTTAAAAGAAAAACCCTCTAAATTATCTCTGTCCTGATTTGGTGGGATGGAGTTGAGCAGGAGGCACTCTACCCACCTCTACCTTGCTTTTCTTCAGTCCTCCCTGGTGAGGTTTTCTCACAACAGCTTTCCAGAATGCACAGCTTTCCCCTTGCTATCTTTAGCACATTTATGTTCTTACCAAGGCAAGCAGGCTCTCAGTACAGGGATTTAGAGGCCTTTCCTGCTAATTGCCAGCTTGTAAACTTAATTGGACTGTCTCCCTGGGCACTGTTCCTAAATCAATTAGGCAGTGAGTTGGCTGTCACCTCTTTTTCCCAAGCAGGTTGCCTGGAAGCGCACCACCCAGGAGAAGTCAAGCATCCAAATGGGAAGATGTTGACCTCTACAGCTGAAAGTTATCACATTTTAAAATTCATTCTGTATAATTACTGTAAAATCTCTTCTAGGAAGAAGGCAAAGCTCTCTCCCTTTTTCCCTCTCTCCCTCTTTGTAGTCCACCGTGCAAAAATATGCTGCTCTCTATTTCATCCTGGTGTTCAGCTTTACACTTCATCTCCTCAGTTTGCCACACTGCCAAGGGAACACTGTGTTGATTAGTAGGTCCCTCTTCACCGTCTCAGTTTTTAGGTTTCTGCTATTTAAAAATAATGCAGAACAAATAAATAAATTAGTTAAATGCAATAATAAATTATAGCAAAAAAATTAGGGGCTCATGACAGCAAGACCCAGACAGGCATTCAGGACTGAAATAAAATCCATGAGTAACACATGGCTTGGAATTGTTTCCCACAGAAGTCAGTTAAGAAACTATGTCAGTGAGAATAGGCAAATATGTTTTTAACTTCCAGCTACATTATGGTTTTGGACAAGTTCTGTGAATCTCCATTATGCTGTCTATCCAGATTTATTTCAGGAAAAAATCATATTAAACATACCCTCAAACACTAATGGCAAATATTTTTGATGTCTAATGCCAAACTCATTTCCAAAAGCCGCTTCTTTTTATTGATGTCAACCCAGATCTTGGATAATGCCAAACCTGGTGCTGGTGCCAATGGTTCAGCATTGCTGGCCTCTAAAGGCATTTTAAATATAGTATTGTATTTAATTAACATGAAAATAAGTATTTTCATCTTTGCTGAGAGGTTAATGTGGAGATTGCCCAGCTGCTGTAATGCTTTAAAAACACTAAACATTTAGGAAGAATAAAGTCTGCTATAACTATTAGATATTAACAAGTTAAACATGGCTGTTACCCAGCATAATGTCCATAGGCTTTAATATATGCAAATATAAGGCGAAATACAATGGAAAGCCTTTCTTTAATGATGCTAAAAAAATTTAAGTAGTTGTCTGTTACTAAACGTGAATATACATATATTCATGTTTTTCCCCAAAAACATCGCTTCTGTATATGCAAGTTCTCTGCAATTCTTCTCTGCAATTCTCCACAAGCTGTATTCAGATGTTTTTCTCCCCTTTTTTTCCCCTCACTTCTTATTTAACATCACAAACAGTATTCACAACAGTTATGAAAGTTTTGTGAGGTATGTTTTATACATAGCAGGTCTGCTCTTCTCTGTTACTGGGCCTTGTTTACCCCAACCAGTCCTATGGTTTTAATACCAGTATTGAAATTCAGCTTGTTCCCTTTCTCATCAGAACTTTTTCCATATGTTTCGTTTCAACAAACAACATCAGAATATAAATAGAGAAAATGTTTGGGGTTTTTTTTTTTTTAAAAAACAACCTAAAAATTATGTTTTTATTTAAAGATAGAGAAATAGTAAATTAATTCTGGTCTCTTTCCAATATTTGGATGAGTACTGATAAAAAGTATTCTATCAGAGCAATACAAAGTGAGCAGGAGTTGCTAAAATTCTGCGTGTGGCCAATGTCACAATGTCATTTGTTTAGTCAGAGATAATAAATAACATTACTTCCTGCAGCTTTTTAGTCACCTTTTCTGTTTGGAAGCTGAGATCTACAAGTCAAGAAACATCTCTGTGGCAAGCTTGTTCTTGGTTTCATGTGCAGTTTTAATTCAAAGGTCTGTAGTATCAAGATGATGATAACTTCTATGGTATCCCCTCAGAAAAAGTGCTCCACTTAGAGAACATTGCCAAGCTAGAAGGATGTTCCAGAGCAGTTGCAATATGGAGAGTAATTGAGTAAGAGCTGCTTTGAGATTGGAGCTGCTCTACACTTGTGTGCAAAGATACATCTGTGTGAGACAAATGCTGGGGTTTAGTGTTGTCCAGCACTATTTCCCTACAGGAAGGAGACGCTGTGAAAGTTGATTTATTATCTACCTTGCAATAGTGATAAACTCCAAATAAAGTTATTCCACCTTGTTTAAGCCAAATTTCATTGTGTAGTGTTGTCACCGGTGACTTTTGGCTACATTCATTCAATATCCACGTGCGAAGTTCATTGATGATTTCTGTCTGCTGTCCAGCACCCTCAGGCTAAGTATGCCAAGCTAGTACGGCGCCATCTCATAAAAAATTTCATACTGAAACCCATCAACTTAATTTTAAATTGTGGCAATTATTTTTAACTGTGCTGAAAAGGAGTCAGCTACTGGTTTACATTATCTGTATAAAAGTATGAACCCATTATCTCTGGTTGTAATATTTCTTGTTAAAGGTGTACTCACAAGAGGACAACTGGGCCTTGAGGAAATCATCCACCAGTACATTCGTAATGATGAGATACAGGAGGCAATTAATGTCCTGAGCACCATGAACTGGAACACCATGGGTCAGCGGTGCTTTATCTGCCTGAGTGCCATTTGCAACCACCTCCTTAAACAAAAGCTTACACCAGCCGGAGAAGGTAAGAGACTGTTTATATTTCTAATGGATTTCCGTGGTGTCTTGGTAATTCATGTGTGGATTATGACTATGTATTTATTGACTGTATAAAGAAGACAGTAATGAGACTCCACACAGACAGCCAGATTATGGTGCCTCATAATCACATGTCATTGTAGACAAGTAATTTCAATAAAATCTGGACCAATGCATTGACTACATTTAGTTTGTATCAATAGTGACACTAAAATAATGCACATTGTAATATATATATATATGCTATAGGCAATACTTAATATACATAGCACTAGCATTACATTTTGTAACTTCATTACATTCTATAAATTTAGCTTATGTTACAGACCAAGGTTAGTTAATACAGGATTGAAATATTTGTGTTATATTCATGCTGAGACAGCACCAACTTAAGGAGAGATGTTTTCCTGCAGTGGGGACAAGAGATTTTTAAGGTGCTTTCAAAGGGTCATTCTTTCATTACAAGATGCAAAGGCCTTGAATACACTATCCTCTGCTGCCTCCTTTAGGATTAAAGCATTTGTCCTTACTGTAATCTAGCCCCCTGCAGTAGTAGCTGGGGTCCCTCAGAAGAAATTATGAATTTTAAGTTTAGCCCTGTCTCTGCTAAAGCCTGGTGTGGTGCCTTCTTCTTGATTTGCTGTCTATCTTGAAACTCAATAGACTTCAAGATTTGAAGTGCCTTGATTTAGTGAAGGTGTTATCCTCCAGTCTAGCAGGCAGACAGCTGGAGACCAGGCATCTTTTGTGGGAAGAGAGAATACTTAGGATTCTGGTGTGTTTGATGATAGAAAAACTCCAAGGTGTCCTACATTGCTGCCAAACCATCAGCTATCCCATTTTGTGGGATCTGATTAAAAAAAAAATCTCTGTGTTGCAAACACAACATATAAACTCTAAATAAAACATGCTTTGAAAAGGACCTGTGAAAAGGGCTGACTATGATACTCTTCTAAAAATATGTACATTATAAACAGATATCTGTGTGTTTCCCCCATGCAGCTCCCTAACACTGTTTACAGAAGAAGGAATTTTATTCCATCCAGGAGTTATTCTATCTAAATCTAACAAATTTGGCATGGTAATTTGTTTTCTTTTTTATTAACAAAACCCAGTGGGACCTTTTATTTATAGTGATGGGGCAGTTATCTTTGAGATCTTTATCCTGCCTTCAACATCAAGCTGGGCTATTTAATGAATGTATAACTGTGCCAGTAGTCACTCATATTCCATGTCAGTTGAAATATTTCAGAAGTTCAAAACATGCTGTCAAGAAAACAGCAATGGCAAGGGAGTATGGCTTGTTTTTCTATTTTAATCTAAATTGACTGCTGCTTTGAAAGAAAATACCTTTAAAGTTCGACTTATCTTACGATCTAGATTGGAGATAACACAAAACTAATTTACTAACAGTTTGTCTGTGTAACTAACACAGTACTATTAGCACATTTAGTGCTATCAAGCCTAATAAAATCAAATGTAACTATGCTTGGAATAGAGTAATTGTCACTAAATACAGAAATGCCTAATTCAAACAAACATTAATAATGTTTGTTTGAATTAGGCAAATCAATGAGATTCTGTCTGCCTAATGAGACAATAGGTTATATTTTGCTTGTAGAGCAACATAAATATACAGCAAATACTTATATATCAAATTCTCCCTTTTCTGCCTGTAAGGCCTTGTTCTACATTGTTAACTCTGCAGTAAAAGTCAAAGAGCATAAGTATTATTGATCATTTAATTTCCTTTCAGCTAAGCATGTGGAACACATAAGTACACTGTATGTTTACTTCTATTGTTTATAATTTTTTATTAAAAATGCACAGGAAAATGCCTAAGAGCTTGAGCTGTGGAGTACAGCAGTCGGAAAATATTTAAAGAAGAGAGAACTTGTGTAACAAAAGGGCTTTATTTTATTGATTACAAGGGAGGTTATCCTGTTTCCCACCACTACATGCTGTCAAACCCTTAGGGTTTCTAGACCCTTTTATTTAAAATTTTTAAAGGACTGTGGGCCGAAGGAGGTTCCTTAGACCTCAAGGCCATCACAAAGAGGGTTCTGTTACCTGCTGACCTAACACAATAATCCCTGAAAAACTGAACTCCCTTGTTGTTTGCCTAAGAGGACAAAGACGATTTGAGCTAATTGAGAGTTGATCTCTACTGGACAATCTTGTTCACACTGTATTAGTCTCATGAGTCACTTTTAGTTGTAGGCTGCTGGTGAGAACTTGATGTGTTATAGACTTCTTTATCCTTTTGATAGCTTTTGTTGCTCAAAGTCATTGTCAGCTGTGCCTCCAAGCCAAAGTTTATATGCACAATTCTGTTTGTACAATATGTCATATTTTAATTTCATCTGTCCTTCAACAACATCACATTTCATCACTGTTTGAGGAATTTGACTGACTGCAAACATGAGCAACCTGTTGTAATTGAAACTAATTCACTTGTTTCATTGCTGCTGTGTTTGAATTCCACAGCACAGCTTGAGGCAAGCCTTGGAACTTTTTATGCTCCAACAAGGCCTCTCTTGGATAGAACTGTGCTGGAGTACAGGGACCCCATCAGCAGATATGCAAGAAGGTTCTTCCACCACCTGCTCAGGTGAGTGACAGTTTCAGCTTCTATCAACTTAAAATTAATTGCATATTTCAATAACTACTTACTTTAATGTGGTTAACATTTTCTAAGAGGACCACCCCTGAAAAAAATGCATTCATTGTTAATGTTTGTTTAACTTGTACTTTGTTCCTTTCAAATAGAGTAATGCAGATAAAGTGCTATTCAGAGCTCTTCTGTCATCAATACACTTAAAATGAATCACCCTCTCCCATTTAGCTTGATAGAAAAAAAGATACCCTGCTTCTGAGAGATTAATATTCACCAACTGCTTGCAGATTAGTTATAGGAAGAACTTAGAAACTTGGAGAAAACAGTGAGTTTAGAAAGATGCTAGAATGCAAAAGCATGCTTCATGGTCCAGGACTTTTTTGTCTTTGCACCACTGAAATATGAACGTTTTGTTAGTCTCACTTTTAAAATTCTCATATGTAAATTCAGGTTCCAGTAATTTTCAATGCCATTAAAATAAGAGGAGAAAATACAGTGTTGAATTTGTCTGTGAATTGTATAGAATCATAGAATGGTTTGGGTTGGAAGGGACCATAAAAGTCATCTTGTTATAACCCAGCCACCACGGGCAGGGACACCTTCCACTAAGCCAGGTTGTTCCCAGCCCCATCCAACCTGGCTTTGAACATTTCCAGAGACAGGGCATTCACAACTTCTCTGGGCAAGCTGTGCCAGTGCCTCACCACCCTCACAGTAAAGAATTTCTTCCATATATCCAACCTAAATTTCCCCTCTTTCAGTTTGTAGTCATTACTCCTTGTCCTACTACTGCAGTTCCTGACAGAGTCCCTCTCTGGCTTCCCTGTGGGCTCCTTCAGATACTGGCAGGCTGCTATGGGGTCTTCACACAACCTTTTCTTCTCCAGACTGAGCAGCCCCAGCTTCCTCACCTTGTCTTCACAGGGAAGCTGCTCTGATATTAGATGAGAAATATTAACAAATTCAGCAAGAATTTATACTACATTGTTTTATTGCTGTATTTTTTCCAACCCATAATAAATATTAATATGAAGCAGTTCAACCTGTTCACAAATACAGCTGTGATATTCCCTTTGGGAATTATCCAGTGAATGAACATAAGGAGAAATTAGCTTCTGAATGATACAATGTTTGTAATATCTTGTTGAGAAGGAGTGTAGATGGACATAGTGCAAAGACTGACAATGCACCCTTTTGCAGTGATTCATCCAGATTGTATATGCATTGTCTGCATGGGCAAAGCAAGTTACTTTGGTAGCCTAGAATGTGGGGTTTTTTTCAAATCTAGAAGACAAATATTCTATATTGTCTTCTACATTTTGAGTCTGAAGAGGATCATCTTTCTGGTGAACAGGTCCATTCCAGTGGGGAAATTATTCCTTGTAGAAGAATGATCCAATATTTGCATAATATGCACCAGTCCTTCACTGGAGTTTTCTTAACACACATGGCCACAACAGTGGGTACAAACTCTGTTATTGCCTTTCTCCTAGAAACCAGCAGGGAAGATGCTGTTGTGGCAGTGGCCAACTTGTTGTGGCTGTGGGCCAGTTGCCTGCAGAGGACAGATGCAGGAAAAATGCCTCAGAGATTGCTGAGAGGTGTAACTCTAGTGTTCTTACATCTGCAAGAGAAAGGTGTGTTCCCTCTGACTCAGGGTTTGCTTCCAAGTGCTAGCAGGCATGCAGAGGCATGGGGCCCTGGCTGAGCTGCCAGCCCTTGAGGCTGCAGCTGAAACACTGACTCAACCCTCCTAAAACAAGAACCTTCAGTGTCAGAACACTGCCTGGACAGCGTGGGGCACAGCAGGAGGTGTGCACGAGAGTCTCCTCATGTCTTTTACCTCCCACTGTAAAGCAGCCCTTGAACAATCTACAGTTGTGGCAGTTTTTGGAACAAATGTGTTATTTTGCTGTTTTCCTATTTTCAAAGGGATTTGTATTCAACCAAATCAAAGTGATAGGATCATGTGATTGCTGCAGAACAGATGGCAATGCTTAAAGCTTATCTCAGAAGACATAACCTAAGTACAAAATTAAATGTTCAAATATGGGAGATTTATCTGATAGAAAGCAAGGAAATGATGTTCAGAGCTGATCATTATTGCATTAAAGTGGCTGTGCCTTAATTGGTGTTTATTTCCTTTTAGATGTTTTCTTAAGTGACTAGAATGATTTAAATGTACGCTAAGCAGAGAGAACTACAGATTTGTTGGGAAATGGTAAACCATGGTTCTGGGTGAGTGAATGCCATCTAGGCATGATGCAATGTCTAGGAGGATCATAGGGAGGCACAGTGCCCACTAATTCAGACACATGAAAGTTGCAGCTGCTGCTATTTCATCTGTCTGTGATAGACTGGCAAGGCAAGGCACTCCTGCTGGCCTGATTTACAGCTGTGGGTTCAGAGTAGGAGAAAAGTGAGGAGGGAATTATGATCCTGCCTTCTCAGGTCACCATGTTATGCTCATGAGGACACTGAAAATGGGGAGTTTCTCCCACTACATGTCTGTCAGGGAAAGCAAGGTCAGGTGACATGGAGGGAATACAGGGGTGCTGTTCACCACTGCAGGGAGAAAATTTGTGTGGCCAAAGCTCAACTGGAGCTGAAGCTGCCCACACCTGTGGGAGACCATAAAAACAGGGGTTATTTTAAAATGCAGTAATAACAAAAGTCAGTGCAGCAATAGCTTCAGCCTGTCACCTCACAAACAGGGCCATAAAGCAAAGATGTTTAATGTTTTCTTTGTCTCTGTCTTCAATACCAATGATGGCATAAGGGACTCCCAGGGCATAAGGCCCTGAACTGAGCCCTGAGGACCATTCCAGTTCTCCAGCTGGACCCCCATGAGTCTGTGGGGCCTGCTGGGATTCATCTGAGAACACTCCAAGAGCTGGCTGATGTCACTGGGAGGCCTGTCTCCATGATTTTTTAATTGTCCTGGGAATCTGGAGAAGCCACAGCTAAGCAGAAGCTGGCAAACGTTGTCCCAGTTTTCAAGAAGGACAAGAGGGATGACCCTGGAAACTTTAGGCCTGTCACATTCCCTTCAGTGACTGGTAAATTATAGAGAAGATTATTCTAGGAGGTGCTGAAAGCACCTGAAGGACAAAGCACTCCTTGGTCCCAGCCAGTACAGCTTCAAGTCAGGAAAGTGCTGCTTATCACACCTGATTTGCTTCTATGGCAGGGTAACCCACCCAGCTGATTAAGGGCAGCCAGTTGATGTTGTGCTTTTGGATTTCAGTAAAGCTTTTGATACTGTCTCTCATGGGATCCTTCTGGACAAAATGTTCATCCCCCAGCTGGATAAACACATGCTGGGATGGGTGAGCTCATGTCTGGGGCACAAAGGGTTACAGGGAACGGGGTGACATCAGACTGGGGACCTGTCACTGCTGGGGTTCTGCAGGGCTCCATCCTTGGCCCTCTGCTCTTCAACATCTCCATAAATGACCTGGACACAGGGCTGGGAGGGACACTGGGCCAGTTCAGACAATACACGAGGGGGAGGAGCTGTTGGCTCCCTCCAAGGCAGGGAGAGGCTGCAGAGAGACCTCAACAAATGAGAGGGCTGGGCAGTCACCAACCATGTGAAGGTAACAAGGGCAAGTGGCAAATTCTGCACCTGGGGTGGTGCAGCCCTGGATATACAGACTGGGGAACCAGAGGCTGGAGAGCAGTGCCATGGAAAAGGACCTAGGGATCCTGGTTGATGGAAAGCAGTGCCCTGGCAGACAGAAGGTCACTTCGTTCAGCCTGGAGAAAAGAAAACCAAGACCTCATGGTGGCCAGCATTCTCATGAGAGGAAGTGGAGAGACAGGCAGTGATCTCTTCACTCTGGTGACCAGTGACAGGACCTGAGGGAAAGGCCTGAAGCTGTGGGGAGAGGATTAGGTTGAATATTAGGAAGAGGTTTTTCACCCAGAGGGTGCTTTTACATTGGAACAGGGCTCCCCAGGCAATGGTCACAGCACCAAGTCTGACAGAGGTCAAGGAGTGTTTGGAGGAGCAGGGTGTGATTCTTGGAGCTGACCTGTGCAGGGCCAGAAGCTGAACTTTCATGATCCTTGTGGGTCCCTTCCAACTCAGGATATTAGATGTTTCTATTATTCTATTATTCGATTTATTCACTTTTTTACCCTTTTTCATTTAGCACTGAATACTTGCAGGCTAGTTACAAATAGCTAATATAGCTCTTCAGAGTGATTTTTTTCATCACAACTGATGTGTCTGTATGACCAAACTAGAAGACTTGGATGCAGAAGCCCTGTGAACTGAGATTGTAAACTTGATGCAGCATTAGGGTACATTTGTTACTCTCTTGTGAATGTGAGGAGACTAAAGCAAAGTGATTGTTTTGTACCCTAGTGCAGCAAATGGAGGAAGCATAGTGGTTTCTAAATTATGTGCAGTAAAATTGTGGCTGATATTCAGAAGGTGTTTCTTGGCATGGAGTAGGCCCTTCTGCAGTTCATTCTGGGCTTCAGAAAGAGCAATCAGCCCATTCACGGAAGTTAAACCTGCAAGACAAGGAACTAAGGAGAAGAGCTCAGAGGTATGGTAGGAAGTCAGAGAAACGGGGTTAGGAGCATGAGTAAAAGCCAAGGTGTTGAGGACAAATTTCTGAAGGCATATGTGGGAATGTACAGTGTCTGCAGTGCAGAGCCAAATGGGAGAAGACAGTTTAGGAGGTGTGTGGTGGGCTGTGGAGGAGACCAGACACATCAGGGATGGACAGGGAAGGGCAGAGTCTTTCATACAAGATTAATACATTAAAATGCTTAAATATTTCAAGATCTAAATCTGAAAAATGTTCATATAAACAATAGGTTTCACCCCACTCTCCAGCTTTCCTTTGAATACCCCACCAATCTGCCTTAAGCCTTTTTAGAAGGACCAGCTCACGGGAGAGAAGCATTAATTCGTTCTACATGCTGAGACAGTCTTTGACCTGCCTACTGAGTCTGCCAAAAAAGTTCCATTTACTGTG